ACACTCAGCCAGCTCCATGGCATAAAAAAATGAACATTCACCCAAATAACTTTTACAAAAAGCTGCAGAAACGAAGTCCCTTCACTTTTTTAATTAATAGAGCAAACACATCTGAAGAAATGAAGCATAATTTCTGGGATGATCATCAGTGAAACTTCTAACATGGAAACTAACATATATATATATTTTTTGTTTGTTTTTTTCTGGTGCAGGCTTTGTAGTAGTATCTACTAATACACATTTCAGATATGATGATTAATCTTACAATGTCAATTTTGTCTTCTTTTGTTATGCATACAACAGTTACATTTAAGTACAGAATTACTAAAAATACACAGAAATTTTGATAAATTATAAAGATTTGCAAAATGGCTAAAACTATGCCACTCTTCACAGTGTAGGAGTGTATACTAAGCAGACATCAGAATTCTCTCTCAAGCTGGTTATTGCCAAGAAAATTCTCCATATGATGAGACTACTTCATGCTGGATACATTTCAAATCTTACTTCTCCTCAAGCAATTTTGTTACCAATTTTCTACTTACGTGTGATTTTACTTCAGTGTCATATATAAGACTTTCCCAGAGGCCATGGAATTCAGCTGTGAAAGCAATACATTACACAGCTGTTCAAGGCAAATCAATTCAGGATCTCGTTATCTACCATTGCATTGCAAAGCAGTTTTCAAATTATTCTCAGACAAAATTAAGGATCAAGAACAGATCTAGGACAGCATTCAAAGTATATGGAAAAAATAAATGGATTATCTTCTCATAAAGCAAACCCTACTTTCTAAGGGCTCTATACTTAAATTTATATATATTACATATGCATATATAATAATGCATGGAATATTATATATACATAGTGCATATATATGAACTTATATTCAACATTTCTTAAAAATAACATCAACAGGTTGAGGAAGAAAATAAAAAGCAGTTAAATAATGTATTTTACAAAACTACAGTTGTGACCAAATCAACCGTTTCCAGCTGTTGCTTTCTACCTTACAGCAGGAAAAAGTCAAAAAGGACTGTGATGAAGAACTATAAACCATAACACAACGGGAATGTCCCATTATGGACTGAATTCTCCTCAAGGAGGAACGTTGTAAATATTTACACTTTTCACAACATGAAAATATGAAATATTTTCACAGTATGAAAAGCACAGGAATTGCCAGACTCGCACTCCTTCTTTGGCCTCAAGCTCACATCTATACTTCTTCCAGATACAGAGTCCAACCTCAACAGGCTCTAGACAATAATAACTGGCAGGCCTTGCTCTGTTGCAGAAGAAACCATTACTCTTTCCAGAAGCCTTCTGAGCATGTTGTATCTCTTCAATTTCTTTGCTCCCTCTTGGGGAAAAAGCTTACTTCATACACGTGATGTAAGCTTCACATTTCCTCTCTAGGCAAATTACTGTTCTCTTTAGAAAAACAATCTGCAAATTCACTGAAAGCGAGATATTGAGTTACTGACAATAATATCTAATTCAAAACTTGTTCCAATTTTCTTTGCAATGTGTTGTTAGCACATGGCTTTATGAACAAATGTATTTTATGATTTAGTTGTCAAAAGAAATTCAGGATAGTGTTATTTGTTTGAAATCTCAGGCTTTTCCCCAGAATACCAGGTTCAAAACACAATCATACAGGAAGCAAACTGAAATTATTTCAGAAATCAATTCTCACAGAAAAAAAAAAGAAAAAAAAGAAAAAAAAAAAAGAAGAAAGAAAAAGAAAGGCAAAAGATGCAAGAACCAGGAACCTACAGTGCATCATGTTAACAAGGCACTTCCAGCTCTTGGACCTTTTCTGTTGTGGTTTTGATAAAGGTTTTATACAAGAGAGATTCAAGTGTTGCCAGACCACTGGCTTCTATTTAAGAACACAACAGCAGCACTGCCTTGCTTGCTGCTAGCTAGCTGTGGGCTTTGGAAAGCCAGTATTTAAAATGATGAATTTCTTGTAGGTCATCAAATTAAAATTTGATGCCGGCAGAGTTAAGCATTTGTGATTTTGACTGTATATTTTCAAGCTTTATTCCACAGGATCAATTACTTTGACCACAATTACAGAAAAAAATGGCACTTTGGAGGATCACCTGTAGTGACTATATTAGGAGGCAGTGCAACCAGTGACTCAGTCAAAACCACTAAAATAATTCCACAGATTGGTTCCATCCACAAAGGACAAAATTATGCAGTCAATGCGCATGCTATCTTTAAAAAATGACCCTACAAACACTTCTAGCCTTTCCATGTTTTCCTTTCATTGTAATCGCTCTGGATCTTTCAGAATTATCAGGCAGGTACCTGCAGGTAGCACCCAGTGGTTAGCTGCAACAATATCCTCATTTTCTTCTTCCAAGTTTTCAACGCTTGGCCCTTCTTCGTTCAGATGAAAAATATGAATGGAAAGACTGCTTTTGCTCAAATCAATAGGCTAGGAGAGATGTAAAAAGACTTTCAATACATCGTTATTTCTCACTTCAGAGATAATTAGAATGTATGAAAGTTACAGTGCTCAGCCAACATTCAGTTTTGAAACCTACTGTTTCTGTTTCAGATCTTAATAATGAGTGTGTAAGTTCAAAAAACTTTTCCCTGTTTGTGCCAGTTGGTCTAGTACAAGATACTACCTTCTACACATCCAGCATGTGTTCTTAGGCTATCACTACTCTACAATTAGCTCATATGCATATGAACAAAACTGTACATTTTTGATTGATACCTGTCTTTCTTTCAACTTCAGCTCTGTATCCACAATTGACACAGATTGCACATTGCTGTTAAGGAAGCCATCATCAAATTCTGTCCACTTGTAATCACCAAACACAATGTTATGTCTGTTCAACAGTTTTAGGACACTCATCCTGATATCTTCTTTCTTTGCCGTACTAATAAGAAACAAACAGCGTTATTTATGGCATTAACCTTTAGAAGGCAAGTAATATCTAATATCTGAAATATCAGAGCGTTTTATCTACTACAGTAAGCCTCCCTCCATGGAAAATAGCCTCCATTCAAAACAAACAAACAAACTGCCACACACACCAAATGCAGTAACATTCTGCAGAAACAAACAAATAGATTTAGTTTGTTTGCAAAGTAATAACTTTGATATTACAGAAAACATTGCTCAATCTGTTTGCAATCAAATCAGGGGTCGTGGAATAACAAAGCTAGACATTTTCAAGAGCAGAAATCAATATGTATCAAAATGTTGACTGTTTTACTACGAATAGTAAACAAACTCAAAGCCAAACTATTAGTCTGAAATTAGCTTGGAAGCTCAATTACCTCCTCACTCCTATGAACAACTGATAGCATGCCTCTGTCTAGAGATATAAGGAGAATTCCAGTAAAACAGGTGAAAACTACAGGAAAAGGAAGAGTATTTTAAGATTCTAGAAAGGTGTTAATTTTAAAACTTGAGTGCAGAATCTTGTCTTTCAACCCTGATGAAGATTCTCTTCTTCAGAGCAGTGGATATTTTTTAGCAGGGCCCTGAATATACTCACCCATTTAATCCCAACAGCCAAACTGGTAAGACAAGGAGTGGACAAATGGACAGGGTGCCTGGACTGTCCTGTTCAGAGTGATTAGTAGTCCAAGGGGAGCAGCAAGTATACGAGGCAGGGAGGGAGTAGGGAATGATTAATGTTGGGACCAACACTATTTTTGCATCTTCATTAACACACTGGACAATGGGATGGAATGCAACTGCATTAAGTTTATGGATGATGCTAGAGCAGAGAGGATTATCAGTATATTAGAAAGCAAAGCTACCATTCAGACAGACTACTGTAGGCTAGACACAAGGTTTAGCAAAAATCTCTGGAAATTCAACAAAAGTAAAAATGAAGTCTTGCCTCTGCATGTATTGCCCAGATAACAGAACAGACCAGAGGTCAACTAGACAAAAAGCAACTGTTGAAAAGGACTAGTGATTCTGGCTGTTTGTTAGGCCACACCTGCATTACTGTGAGTAGTTTGGGGCTCTGCTGTAAAAGATTTAAGTGTACTAGAGCAAGCCCAAAAGGCAGCCACCAACAAGATGTGAAAAGAAATGGTTTTGTTCAGCCCCAAGCTGCAGAAAAACTTCACAGACATAGAAGAACTCACTGATGTGTTAAGAGAATGCAGAGCAAGACTGCTGTGTGTGCAACAGACACAAGCTGCCGCAAGCAAAGCAACAAAACACAGCTCCTGGCGAGGCAGGAGGGTCAAACACCTCATCAGCTGTCCTGAGTGACTACGTAATCTCAAAACATGATTAATCAATAGCCTGAAAGATCAGAAGGCTCTGCCTTCAGACTAAATTGGATCAGGGCAGTTTTCAGAGATCCTTTCCAACGCACCTCGTTCCCTTTCCCGCTTTCACGCACATACGCTTTTTCTATTATTCAAACGAAAAATTCACAGCAAGGCGCCACAAAGCCTAAAAGCCGAGAGAGACCTGTTTGATTTCTGGTGAACTTCCACGTGTATCTGAAGGGTATCGCACGCGCTTGGAAGGGCTTGCTTCAAATCCCCAGCCGCTTCATCCATCCTTCTTGCTCCTAAGGAGAAAGCGGCAACAAACAGGCTTTCAGTGATGCTGCAGCCAGCAACGCGAACAGCCCCTCTTCGCACGGGAACACCACGTCCCCCAGTCCACCAACGCACCCCTTCCTTCCTTCCTTCTTTCTTTTGCGATAAACAGGCACTCGGCCCGCTCCTCGCTCAGCGTTAGCGGCACGGAAGGGAAAGGAGCTCACGTCGGACAGGGCCCCGAGGACGGCGACCTGAAGTCGGGCGAGCTGAGGAGCGGCACCTTCTTCGTTCCCTCCGCGCGCGGGCCGCTGCGAGGGCTGCCCGTTCTGGGGCACGCGGCAGAGCCAAGGCGCCGCCACCGCAGCCGGATTCGAAAAGCGGCGCGCTGCCCCGGGAGCCCCGCCTCGCGTCCCCTGACCTGGATCTTCCTCCTCGGAGAAGGAGCGTTTCCGGAGGGGGAGGGGAGGTTGCGGCCGTCGGGCTTCGCGATGGGGAAGAAGCACAAAAAGCATAAAGCAGACAAGGCGGAGTGGCGGTCGGCTTCTACCACCGCGTACAGCGGTAAGAACGCGGGGCGGCAGCGGGAGCCGCGCCTGTCTTCATCTCTTTGGCTGCCGGCGGAGCTTGGGAGCCCTTCGCCGCGCCCGAAGGGAGGAAACCCTCGTTTACGTGGGTGAAGATGCTGCGAACGATCTTTCCTGGGCTCCCGTTTTCGGGACCGGGGGTGGGGACAAGAGAAAAGGCGGGATTCCTCTCGATAAGGGGGGAGCGAGGCGGGGAGCAGCCTGAGCGTGAGGGCGGGGAGCTGCGGAGACCGAGCTCCTTCCTGGCTGTTATTGAGGGAGCGTTCTTCAGATGTCTGTGGGGTTTTCGTGCCGCTTGAGGTGTTAAGCTGTGGGAGAACACAGCTTTGTCGTTTAGCAGATGCGAGAAAATCTTCCAGCAGTCCAAACTGACAGGAGAAAATTCCGCTGGAACAGTTCCCGTGACTGTCGGTTTTCACTGTAAGGACTCGGTTTGCTTGATTTATGCGTGGATTTTCCAGCAGTGGTAGGTTTTGATTTTTGTTTTTGATTAGGTTTTGACTGCTCTAAGGTTGGAAGCAGGTTGGTTGGTTTGTTTTACAGGCGGTGGTTTATGGTGGGGTGCAAGAACTGTGATATTTTGGGGCATGTGGAACAGCTGCTTGTTAATTTGGATTTGTGATTCTTAGCTGATGCTTTATATTGCATACACTTTCAAAGTGATTCAGATTCTTACCAATAGCGTTTCTAGAACTAGCATCACCTATATGCTTCATTGATAGCATGCTATCACTTTCATCAGCATCTCCAACTTTTTTTTCTTTTTTTTTAATTTAGATTATGTAGACAAGCCTTTGGAAAAACCTTTGAAGCTGGTTCTTAAAGTTGGAGGAAGTGAAGTAACTGAACTTTCTGGATCAGGACATGATTCTAGTTATTACGATGACAGATCAGATCATGAGCGAGAGCGGCATAAAGAGAAGAAGAAGAAAAAGAAAAAGAAATCTGAGAAGGAGAAAGAAAAGCACCTTGATGATGAGGAAAGAAGAAAGAGAAAAGTAAGCTGTGATTTTTAGAATTTAGACAATACCATCATTCAAACATGTTCACTTACCTGAGATCAGATAAGTGTGTACAGGTCTGGTACAGTCTAAAGGACCCCCTCAGTTTTCCCCCAGTTTTTTTTAATATTTAAGTAGGAAGACCGCTGTTTGGAGGCAGCACCTCAGAAGTGGCCATCATAGAAGGCCAATCTGGTGGCCTTCTATAATGGAGTGACAGCATCGGTGGATAAGGGAAAGGCGACCGATGTCATTTACCTGGACTTGAGCAAGGCCTTTGACATGGTCCCCCACCACATCCTCATCTCCAAATTGGAGGGATGTGGATTTGATGGGTGGACGACCCGATGGATAAGAAACTGGTTGAAAGGCCGCAGACAGAGGGTGGTCATCAATGGCTCTGTGTCCAGGTGGAGGCCGGTAATGAGCTCTGTAACATCTTTATCAATGACAGCGATGTAGGAATCGAGTGCACCCTCAGCAAGTTCGCTGATGACACCAAGCTGAGTGGTGCGGTCAACACGGATGAAAGAAGGGATGCCATGCAGAGGGACCTCGAGAGGCTAGAAAGGTAGGCCCAGGTGAACCTAATGAGGTTCAGCACGGCAAAGTGCAAAGTTTTGCACTTGGCCCGGAGGAATCCCAGGCATCCGTACAGGCTGGGAGGAGTGGTCCTTGAAAGCAGCCCTGTGGAGAAGGACCTGGGGGTGCTGATAGATGAAAAACTTAACATGAGCCAGCAGTGTGCTCTTGCGGCTCGGAGGGCAAATGGAATCCTGGGCTCCATCAGGAGAGGGGTGGTCAGCAGGGACAGGGAGGTGATTGTCCCCCTCTACTCGACTCTTGTGAGGCCCCATCTGGAGTACTGCGTCCAAGTGTGGAGCCTGCAGTACAAAATAGACAGCTGTTGGAGAGGGTCCAGATGAGGGCCACTACGATGATCAGGGGACTGGAGCACCTCCCCTATGAGGACAGGCTGAGGGAGCTGGGCTTGTTCAGCCTGGAGAAAAGAAGGCTGTGGGGTGACCTCATTGCAGTCTTTCAGTACCTAAAGGGAGCCTGCAGAGGGGAGGGGAATCAACTCTTTGAAAGGGTTGATATGTGTAGGACGAGGGGAAATGGTTTTAAGTTGTGGGAGGGGAGATTTAGGTCAGACATCAGGGGGAAATTCTTTACCCAGAGAGTGGTGAGGTACTGGAACAGGCTGCCCAGAGAGCTTGTGGATGCCCCATCCTTGGAGGTGTTCAAGGCCAGGTTGGATGGGGCCCTGGGCAGCCTGGTTTAGCATTAAACGTGGAGGTTGGTGGCCCTGCATGTGGCAGGGGGGTTGGAGATTCATGGTCCTTGAGGTCCCTTTCACCCTGGCCATTCTGTGATTCTGTGAAGTGCAGAAAATGCCCATCCAGGTTGGTGCATTTCTGCCGTTTAGAAGAGTGATCAATGTGTTGATTTGTTAAATAATGTAAATGCTTGTTCCTTTTAACTGATATTTTTCCTATCCATTTGTTTTGTGTATCGTTATAAATACTTCTGTTTTTAAATTTAATGTTTCGTGTTTCAGCTGGTTCAGAAATATGCTTTGCTATCCTTTGAATGAAAGGTATTTCCAGCCTTTCAAATCTAGAATGAACTTTGCTCCGATATAATAACTTGTTAATTAAACATAACAGTTTCAATGCCTACAACAGCTTTTCTTTTATAATCTGATTTTACATGAGTTCAGGATACATTTGGTGGAAGTTCAGCGATTAATGAGAGAACAATACTTTTATGTAGTGCTGCTTATGTTTTGCCTTTGTGTTTAATCAGAGTGGAAAAAATTGGAAAAAGAGACAATGGCAGTCACAATATTTAAACCATATCGTGAATCAGTTGTACCTTGAGTATGCCAAATAAAAATGGCTCTTATTTTTCTGTGGCTAGGATTGTGCATTTGAAGTATGTTCTAAAATCTGTCTATTTGCTGTTGTAGGAAGAGAAAAAGAGGAAAAGGGAAAAAGAGCAGTGTGACACTGAAGGCGAAACTGATGACTTTGATCCTGGGAAAAAAGTGGAGGTTGAGCCTCCTCCAGATCGTCCTGTCAGAGCATGCAGAACTCAGCCAGGTGAGCTTTGTGAGAACTTATGTGCTTAATCTGCACGTTAAGTGGATTCTTAATCCATACCTGTCTTCCCAGTGGGTCTGCATCTATCTGTCACTCTTGTCCTCTTTTTGATTGGAAAAAATAGGCTGTATTTCAGGAATACTAATTCCATGGGTGTTATAGGAAAGGACCCATTAAAACTGCACGAATGAAAACATTACCAGAATGGGGGCATCCCAATCATGCAGTTTGAGTAGCTAAATATCACTTTTCTTTTCTGTAAAAATGGATAACACCTTACTTTTATTTTACTAATTTAACCTATTAGTAGATACTAAGTTAAATTTTATTAAAGCTATCTTTCAAAAATGAGTTTAAAGCTCATTAAGTAAGAGAAATAGTTATTGTATACTTAAAGTAGGTATGTTTTGATAGATATATTCATTTGTTCCTTTAATTTGCCTGTGTTTCCATCTCAAACTGCAGCTGAAAATGAGAGCACACCAATCCAGCGATTACTAGAACACTTCCTTCGTCAGCTCCAAAGGTATTAATATCTTGTCCACAGCTGTGTTGATTGTGTCTGGCACACACGTGTTAGATTACAACTCCTTATTCTGGCTTTCTGTTTTAAAATCATGCAGAGACTGGCTTTAATATATTGGGTAACTTTTCAACTGCATCAGACCTCATAGTTTTTAAAGGTTAGTTGATGAATATTATTACCAGCAGTGCCATTCTAGCCTGGGGATAAGCAAGGCATAATTTGGGGGTAGACTATATTGCTGTTAGAGATTTATAAAGCACTAATAACTGAATTTAAAGAATAAAAAAAATGTGAATTTTAATAAAGATTGGAGTCACGAAATTGTTGTATTTTGCATTTTCTGTCAGATGCCAAAGCAAGTTTATACCCACTTGCTTGATAATATTCTGATGTGGAGAAATGTTTTAAATTTGTTTTTTCTTGATGTTAACTCTGTAACTCATATTTTTGAAGAGAATTACCAACATCCTTTTTTTTTATTTTTTATTTTTTAATTTAATAAATACAAGAAACTGAATTCACAACTAGATCTAAAATAGAAAAGACTACAGGTACTTGTAGAGGATTTCATGAACAAGAAGATTTGAAGAAATTATTACTTGTAATTACTACTATATAAAGAAATTATTACTAAGCCAAAGCACCCATTTGGAGTGTAAGTGGAGATACAGATAGCATATGAGAAATAATTAAGTAAATCAGGAGCTGGTTTCATCTTTTTCAAAGAAGTCTGCATGTGCAAAATCAAAACTCTGTTCTGTAGCAGGGAACTTTTCAAATACCTCACTGCTTAGTGAAATTGGTTTTGTTTAATATGTTTTTTTCGTTTTAAATAAGGTACTACTTGTTTTATTCTGTTTGTGTGGTATAGAAACAACAATCATCTTGTTTGCTGATTTAAATGTTAACTCTTCCTTTCTTTCTTTCTTTCTTTTTAAATTTTATTTTTAGGAAAGATCCTCATGGGTTTTTTGCTTTTCCAGTCACGGATGCCATCGCTCCAGGATATTCCATGATAATAAAACACCCCATGGATTTTGGAACTATGAAGGAAAAAATTGCAGCAAACGAATACAAATCAGTCACTGAATTCAAGGTGAGTTGTTAGAGATTCAGTTACTTCAGAACACTTCAGTAGCAAACCTCAGATTCATTTTGACTTCAGAAGTCTTTCTTACCTTAATTATTTTAATGTGTGCTCGTTCCAAGCTCAATTGCCTGTTCTGCAAAAGTTCACTACAGGTTACTGTGGAAATGAATAACATGCTGTAAAGACCTGTGGAATTCATGCTGCTAGACACGATATTCCTACCTATATTTAGAGTTTAAGGAATTTCAAGAAACTTAGATTTATTTTTTCTATCTAGACTTGTTTAGATTGATTAAATGGCAGTTTAAATGTATTTGCATGACAATTGGAGATAACGAAACATTTTTTTAGTACGTTACAATAACAGCTGTGTATTTTTCATTTTGAATTACCCTGTGTTCCATACAACTGCCATTTCGGATGGTGTTTTGGCAGAAACTTAGTTAGCAAGGTTATTGGCAACTTGCCTTAGCTACACTGGCTGTTGACACTGCAGTAATACCTTGTTGAATGCATTGTCATTCTACAGGCAGGCAGTGCTGTAAGTTTTTTTAATTTTTTTTTATTTTTTAGTATTGTCAGCTCCTGGAAGGAAAGAAATTTTATTTAACCTATTCATGAAGTTCTATGAGCGGCCTTTAACTTTCATTGCTTTCAGCTGTAGAAGTGATGTAACGAGTCTTCACAGAGGACATTGGCTTGTTTTTCAGGGTTGTTTTTTCTCCTATAGAAAATTCCAGCAAGGTGAGCAAAGAGCAGCTTAGATTTCCTATAGGGGCTTTGGCAAATGTTAGTCTGTTTTGTTATGTGTGAATTGGGATTGTTTGTTTGTTTTAAATGGAGACTTTCATAGGAAATAAGAATACGTATTATCATTGCAATCAGCCAGCCGTGCCATCTGGTGTTTTGAAATCTTGTTGACTTGTCTTTCTGAGTCATTTTAAAAAGATGTTTGAATGGGAGCTCCCTGGCTGTATTGACATACAGTTATGGTTACATTGATAATGCCAGTAGGAGAGCAATCTTAGAAAATGAAAATTACTGCATTGTTCAGACTAACAGATTCTTTTTCTCTGAAGGATTTGTTTTCTGCTGGCACTCTTTGAAGAGTGATAAATGTTTGCTAGAAATCTATCACTGTCCAGTGTCCAACCTCTTTGTCCAGTGACAGAGGTAGGACTTCCTTTCTAGATGTGAGTATATGCTCATGCTTTTGTAATTGTTAAATAATACAGAAATGTTCTTAAGTTTTGACCTCTAAAAAGGAGTGCTCCGATGGTTGTCTTTCACTTCTGATAAACCTGCTTCAACCAGCTGAGGCTAGTCAGAAGCCAGTACCTCCTCAAAGGGAAGACTCCCTGTGAGCCATATGCTGTATTTAGCAGTGGATAAATTGCTGCAGAAATACCAAAGTCGGACAAACAAAAATCTTTGTTATTTTCTGCACTATTTCAAAGACCATCACGACATGCATTGCTCCCCTGCTCTTCCTTATTTCCTTTATATCTAATTGTTTGCTCCCTCGTGCCACCTTCCCAATTCCTGTTTTTGTGATGGTCTCCATAAATGAAGGCAGATAACCTAAATGTCACAGGAAGTCACAGACTAGCCTTTATAGCTCTTTATCTACTTAGCTGGTATGGAGCTAATAGTAGTAAATCATCAGAGGAGCACTGCTCTGGCATCACTGCAGGGGAACAAGACATAAAAACAACTTTTTTTCCCCATATATGATCAGGAATGCAGCGGGACAGAATTTTGGTGTATGTATTAATGTTTGGTGTCAGAGGAAGAATTCAGGAGGAGTCTCATCAGAAATCTTTGTGTCAGAAAATCTGTTCTGTGAACATGGTGGGTTAACTCCCACCATGGAGTTGGATCTTTACCACAGAACAAAATCATCATCAAATATACTAGACTCCTGCACAGACGGTGTTTGTATTTGTGTCTTGAGAAAAACTAAAGCTTAATTGCCTGAACAGTCATTATTTCAATATTGAGAAGTCACTGAGCAACAAGTATGTCCTTAAACCATGCCCCAGTCTAATTTGTTAGTGTCCAAGTTGTGAAGTGCTACTGTATGATTCTTGGTTATTGATTTGTCAACTTCTTAAATTTTCACAAGACTGCAATACTGTCGTTCCAGCTCAGTGTTTCATAGAGCTTCTAATAATGCTTTCTATTCTTTACTTAATGGACCAATAATGTTTGGTTAAAATAGTCTTCCCTCAGGGAGGAAAAAAAAAACAAACAACAAAAAACCTCTCATGATCTGCAATAAATGTTTTTGGTTCAGCTTGCAGTGGAATGTGTTAAAGCTTATTTCAGCAAGTTGCATCAGTTAAAAATTGCCTGATAGTGGATGTGATAGGAGAGGACAAAATGGCTGGTTTGTTCTCTTGTTGCATGCATTGAGCGTTTGTAAAGTTGTTTCTTAAGTTTTGAAGGCTTTTGTTGTTGTTGCAGTTTAAGCGGCTGAAGGTTACAACGAATTCCTACAAATAAAATTATATATAAGATACTTTATCTTCTTGCTATTGTATCTCTCTAACCTATTCTGATTTGTGAGGAAGGAAAAACATGCAAATCTGTACTTGGTCCCTCAGTGCTGTTACTGATTTTTACGTTTATTTGTTTGGTGTGTATGAAAAAGAAGGAGATGTTGGCACGTAGGTTAAACTTGTTTATATATTAAGAAGAATACAGAACAGCCGTGGTAGTGTGCTGTGTGCAAGTTGTGCAGTAAAGGAGTTTGGTATTTGAATGGGCTTTTTTGTTTTGTTTTGTATTTTACAGGCAGATTTTAAACTCATGTGTGATAATGCAATGACTTACAACAGACCAGATACTGTTTACTACAAGCTAGCCAAGAAGATACTGCACACAGGCTTTAAGATGATGAGCAAAGTAAGAGACCTTTTAAAAACAAAGCAGAAACTCTTTGTTTCGGGGATTCTTTTTTTTGTTATAATTAAAAGGAATGTAATTAATAGCTGTGTTAAATGTTATTTCATCTATCTGCCATTACTTATAACTGTGTCTATTCATATTACTCTGCTTAGGGGCTCGATAGCATTCGTGTTATAAACACAGCTTTATTTTCCAACCTCATCTGCACCACTGAGGTCTGTGGGAGCTTATTCTACTGGCTTCAGTGGAAGCAACTGGGATCCAAGTGCCAAAAGCCCAACTATGAAATGTTGCTTTAACTTTGAATGCAAAAATCTCATCTAAGTCATAATTTTGCATAAACAAAGAATCTTTACATTTTCAAATGTGGTGGGCATAGGGGAGGTTTCAGAGATTTCATAAATGCACGCATACAAAGCTAAATTTATACTCGAATACAGTTCTTGATCTGCAAAACTTGAGTTGTTTTTGTGAGCTGCTTTGTGTGTGCATGTGCTTGTGCTGCTGTTCTGCATGGTAAGTCCTGTATGAAATGGGTTGTTGTCTTTGCATATGCATTGTTTGTTTGTTTCTCTTTCTTGATAGTTGGTCTGCAGAAATTCTGATGCCATGCTACCATGACAAATCATGTTGCATCGCCATTGAAAATGAGGCATAAAGAACAAAATAAGGCCATGGCCATTCCCATCCCATCCCATTATCATAGCATCTTGGCTATGAGGGAAAGGTTAAGTCCCTGCCGCTCTGTCCTTTCTGATTCTAGGAACGGCTGTTAGCTTTGAAGCGCAGCATGTCGTTTATGCAGGACATGGATTTTTCTCAGCAGGCAGCTCTTTTGGGTGATGAAGACACAGTGGTTGAGGAGCCTGTTCCTGAAGTTATGCCTGTACAAGTAGAGACTACCAAGAAATCCAAAAAGCAAAATAAAGAAGTTATTAGGTAAAGGTTTTCGTTGGTGTGCTTTCTAGGCTGTTGAAGTTTTTGTAATATAAGTCAGGAGCAAATAATTGAGAAGAAGAGACCTCCTTTGGCCTCTTTCCTCGTGGAATGATTGCATGTTCTTTTAAATGATACCTTGCATTTAATGTGTATATGTGTAAATGTTTTATCATGTCTTTATATTTGCTGAAAATATAAGCAGTTCCTTCTTGTGGTAGTTAGAGATGTTGGTTTTATCCTAGCCACAGATCTTTAACGTTTTGAAGAAACTTTGTTCTTCTTTTTTTTACTTTAAACTTGTGGTAAGTGCCAACTTACTTGAAGGAAAATCACTGAATTAAATCTGGAACTTAATTGACAAATTTTATATTAAAAAAAAAACAACAAAAAACTGTAACAAAACATTGCTAATTAGATATTTTAACTACTTGAGATCTTCTTATATATCTGAAGTTGGGGGGGCGGCAAGAGCAATCTTACCTCAAAATCATGCTTTTTTTTTGTTTGCTTTTGTTAAAAACAAGTTTCACAGTTCTCAACAGCCACAGGTTTAGTGAAAAAAAAATAAATCATAATCCTGTTTCTCTGTGAAGGAAGAGCAGGTATGTGTAGTTGTTTTGTAGCAGCAGGAGACAGCAACGCTTCTCTGCAAAAATAATTCTAAACTGAGTAATTTTTTGGGTGTGGAGCTATGGTACCACCGTACAGAAATACATCTACTGCTGTGTAGCAAACAAATTATTCTTCAGTACTTGTCTAATAGGCATGTAGGAATTAAGTACCTTTCTGTAAAGGGGACTTCATGCAGATTCTTTCTGATCAGTCTGTGGTTTTGTTTGTATCGTACGTATTTATTTTCTGATTAATTTCTAAGTAAACTGCATTACAGAGGTCTATTTCTACTTTGCCACCTTCTGTGTTCTTGTTTTCAAAGTAAACAACTTGGGAAGAGAGCGAACAGATCAAGAAATTGAGACTACCAAAGAACACAGTACTGCTTTGTCTTCAAAATCAACCATGATTTGTAGTCAAGTAGAATTGTCAGCTATTCTTAACTATTCTGCTATCCAGTTTCCTTGGGATCAATTATGCTGTAAACTTATTTTCTTGTTCTCTTAAATATTTGTGATTTTAATACCCAGAACTGTTTCTTTTCTGATTAACTTGACCTTTAAACCAACTGTATTTTGGCATCCGTGTGATAGTCTTTTGATGTACAGCAGAGCTTTCATTAGATTGCTTTCATAACTGCTTGTTAAAAGCAGAGAGCTGAAGGTCATCATTCTGGAAAGTGTTAAAGTAATTCAGACCTCTGTGTTATTGTTTAAAAATTAGCTTGATCATCTTAGAACAGAATTCTTCTTTGAAACATTCACTCAAACTTCTTGTTTGTTATGCGTACAGTATAGAAAGCCTCTGATGTAGCAAATTTTACTGCTCTTCATAACCTTTTCTGAAGAATAGGAATGAACAGTTCCTGAATGAAACAAAAAAACTACCACAGGATCATGAGAGAAATGTGTTACTTTTTAATTGTCATTAACAGCAAAGCTTTTTTGCATATTCAGTCTGAATTTCTATACAGAGAAAAATTCTTAGCTAAGAAATGGAAAAGGTACCTCAGGTGAGGGAAATGGGTTTGGTATGAGGAGTAGTACCCGAAATGGTTGGTTTTAGGTCTAACCTTAGTATGTAATGCTCCAATAGATTCTGATCTATGAAGTATTTCTTTTATATTGAATGATGACTCTCACAAAAGCATCGAGTGATTGGTTCCCCCCACCCAGAAATACAGACTCTCCATTTCCTTATCATCTGTTTTTTTTTCCTGCATCTTTTTATTTGGAATAATGGCATATTCACACATGTATGAGACATATGCATCATTTACCTTGTAACGATGTAAGAAATCTATTTCCAGTTTATGCTTTCAAGTACTGTTATTTTCACTGAAGTACAGAAACAACTAAATTTTGAAGTTCAAGAGTTGACTGGTTCTTCTGCTACAAAACTTCATTTTCATAGTGTAACTGTAATTCCACTGAAATGCTGAATTGGACAGACACTGGGAGAGCAGTGGGACTATTCTGTTTAGCAAGCTCAGAATTCAGCCTCGTGTTTTGTCTTTTAATTTCTACAACTACTACTCTTTTCTTTCTTCAGTTGCATATTTGAACCTGAAGGAAATGCTTGCAGCCTGACAGATAGCACTGCTGAAGAACATGTCCTGGCACTAGTGGAACATGCAGCAGATGAAGCTCGGGATAGGATCAATCGATATCTACCCAACAGCAAGGTCTGCTGCATGACAAAGTTCACAATTCCATGTTGTGTCTAACTTAAATGGATCTCAAGTTGTATCGTGTTTTAAACATCTTTAAAAATTCACTTGCAGAAAACACTGAATCATCTTCAGTCTTTGATCTAGCTTCCTTGGTTGCAACTCTTAGCATTGAAAATGATTAAAATAACACAACACTCACATACAGGACAAGGGAAAATGGTTTCAAATTAAAAAGGGGAGTTTTAGATTGGCTGGAAGGAAGAAGTTTTTTATGTAGTAGGAGTGAAGAGACACTGGAACTGGTTATCCAGAGATCTGGATGCCCTGTCATGGGAACTTTCAAGGTCAGGCTGGATCAGGCTCTGTGCAGCCTGATCTAGCTGCAGATATCAGTTTCTTGCAGGGGAGTTGGACTGGATGACCTTTAAGGGTTCCAACTCAAACAATTCAATATTTCTGTTGCAACCATAGAAAGCAGACTTTGGCATAGATTAAACCATCATTAGGATTCCCTCTCCCTAAAAGAGTTGAGAAATTCTGAAGTATGAACTTAATGTTTTCAGTGAAAAGTCCAGAATCTCTTTTATATTTGTACCTAGCGGTAGTAGCTGTCAGTTACAGCATGTTCTTGTGTCAGTCACAAGGCAGCCTTCAGTAAGTAGTAGATAACTATAACAGTGCCTGTGTTGGAATTTTGGACACTGCTGACTGCAGGTTTAATCACCTTGAACATGATGCTGGTACTGTTCCAGACGTTTGTTTTTTGTGCTGTTCTGAGTGCTAATTGGGAAAGCTCCTTGGTTCTCAGTATGGTTTTCTCAGCATGACCTGTATGTGAGCTGTGGTTTTCCTAGATATGTGATGCTAATGGTTTCCTTTGCTATTTTGTGCTAGGGTTTGGAATTAATGCTGCAGACTTTCCTAACAGGTCTATGTTGTGATAAACACGTTACTCTGTTTCCCTTGCATCCTATGGAGTCTTTATTACCGCCATTACACATTGGCCTCATATCTGGCCTCATATCATTATTTCACATTCTGTAGTAACTGCTTCAATTTAAGAAAGGTTCAAGATATTACAACATCCTACATTTTTCACCTAATCTTATAACTTCTGTTGCAGAAGAAACATCTGCATTGAGGTGGTGGTAATGTTGTTTTCAAACTCAAGTACTTGGAACTATGGCACTTGACTATGATCACTTCTAGGTCAGCTAGATTAAGAAGAAAAGCCTCAGAGTAGAAGCTTTAGCTTCTTCAGTGTATTTCTGAAGCTAGGAAGAAGACTTGCTAAGAGCAAACGTCATTTGGAAACCTATAAAGTAAGGCTGTTTTCTTACAAACCATTTACAGCAATACCAATCTACTACTTGCTAGCTATACTGGAAAAGCCTTTCAGGATGCAGTCACTTCTGAAGAGAGCAACTCAGTGGTATTCAAGGAAGAGTTTAGATACTCTGTTCCTCATGTCTGGGCTGTTCATCAGCTTGACAGCCCACTGTAGATTCCAGTTAAGTACTTAACACTCAAGTGTGTAATCACATGTGTGTTCCAGTAGGTCTGGCATGGCACTTGTTTGTTAAGAATTTGATAGCATGTGTACAATAGTACTTCTAAATGCAGAAAGTTGTGGATGAGATGCATGAATGAGCAGTATATTTGCTAAAAGGTGATAAGTAGTTATTTCTAAAAATTCTCCATGCTAAAGAGGGAGTTCATGCTGGTGTTCAGGATCTGAATATAGCTGAAAAAACTTTTTAAAATCTTCTGTCTAAGCAGACATTTCCTTTGAGATTAGATTCTTTGAATGATTGTATGTCTTTGTGATTGTATTTACAGATTGGTTATCTGAAAAAAAATGGAGATGGAACTTTATTGTTCAGTGTAGTAAATTCATCTGATCCAGAAGCAGAAGGTAAATCTTTATGCAAACCTTTCTAATATTGAATGTTGTAGTAGAGTCTTAAATGTATGTTCACATCCTGTGTGTGATAAATGAGTTGTTCTGTTTTTTCAGTTAATTTGTATTTCCACAATGGTTTTTCCCCAGTAGCTTGTTATGGAATTATTAGAGGAATCTATCTCTCAAGTTTTCAGTCTCCAGATTTGAACTCAAAATACATAAGTCTAGAAAGCTTGTAATTATTAGGATTGTGTAGTCTTTGTGCTGCCATCTGTCCTGTTGATGTAGTACTTCCTTCTCTGTTCATTTTGAGATTGGAATTCATTCACAGCATAGCTATTGCTGCATTGATGAATGCATGAGCCCTTTTGGCAAGCCATGTTTTTGTTGATTTATTTATTTACTTAAATTATTGGGAGGGGCAGGCCTTGTATCCTCTGATTGTCTGAATTCTTTTTCATCTTGAAGTAAACCATTCTGGAATGAAACTGAGCACTGTGGCTGCATCATGCACTTAACTATTTTTGAACAAATTAGATAAATGTGATTAATACTTCTGCAGTCAGTCCACTGAAAATTTAGACAGTGGTGGCAATAGGAGCAGAACAAACCTCCAGTATGAGTTGTCAATAGCAGTACTACTTTCTATGTTTCACTGCTCCAGACATTCTTCTTTATTGTTTGTATTAATAGTAATTATACTAGATTTATAGCTACTACTACAGTATGAAATTTTGTTCTACAGTTGTTTTTTTTTTCCATACTAAGGTTCTACAGATAAATTTCCTTTTTTGTTTTTCAGTAATTGAGCATAGCTGCTGGATTTGTTAACATAATCAATGAAATTTAATGTAACAGGAAATGTTCTAAATGCATACTTGTTTTTTTTAATATTATTTTTCTATTTTCTTTCAATATTAAAAACACTCCAAATGATTTGAGCCATTTGAATTAAGCAGTTCTCATAACTGATCATAGAATCATAGAATGGCCTGGGTTGCAAAGGAGCTCCATGCTCATCCAGTTCCAACCCCCTGCTGTGTGCAGGTCACCAACCAGCAGCCCAGGCTGCCCAGAGCCACATCCAGCCTGGCCTTGAATGCCTGCAGGGATGGGGCCTCCACAGCCTCCTTGGGCAACCTGTTCCAGTGCCTCACCACCTCTGGGGGAAAAACTTCCTCCTCATATCCAACCTAAACCTCCCCTGTTTCAGTTTAAACCATTCCCCTTGTCCTATCACCGTCCACCCTCACAAACAGCCGTTCCCCCTCCTGTTTCTACGCTCCCTCCAAGCACTGGAAGGCCACCATGAGGTCTCCCATAGCCTTCTCTTCTCCAAGCTCAACAGGCCCAGTTCCCCCAGCCTTTCCTCACACAGAGCTGCTCCAGCCCTCTGCTCATCTCAGTGCCTCCTCTGGCCCCGCTCCCAGAGCTCCACGTCCTTCCTGTGCTGGGGCCCCAGGCCTGGACGCAGCGCTGCAGATGGGGCCTCACAAGAGCCGAGCAGAGGGGGACGATCACCTCCCTCTCCCTGCTGGCCGCCCCTTTTTCATGCAGCCCAGAGCACAGCTGGCCTTCCGGGCTGCAGGCGCACACTGCTGCCTCATGGCCAGCTTCTCGCCCACCAGGACCCCAAGTCCTTCTGCGCAGGGCTGCTCTCAAGGAGATCTGCCCCCAGTCTGTATCAATACCTGGGGTTGCCCCAGCACAAGTGCAGCACCTTGCACTTGGCCCTGTTGAACCTCATTAGGTTTTCGTGGGCCCATTCTTCAGAATCAGATTCAGAAGGAAGAATTATGCTGCCATAGTGCTGTCTTAAAAAGGTTCTTCATATGAATGGGTTTCGACACACGAGCTACTGCTTAGTCAATGCAAGAAGTTGCTTTTATTGTTTTTGTAATATCTGGATGTTGAATGTTTATGAATTAGCTAGTAAAAGAATCTCAGATGATGCTAAATGCCTTAGAAGTAAAATAACTTAGTACTTAGAGCTGGAAATCTATTTACAGCTTGTATTGGAAATTAAAATGGAGAACCTAGATTTATCTACCTATCCTTAATAGAGCTATACAGCTTAAAATACTTTCAGCTTTTGTAGTGACTTTTAAAGCACTGAAGTAAACCCTAAACACAAGATTTAAAAAAAAAAAATTATATTATTTTTAATCAATTTATTAGAGGAAGAGACTCATCCAGTAGACCTGAGTTCACTGTCAAGCAAATTTTTACCCGGCTTCACTACACTGGGCTTTAAAGATGAACGAAGAAACAAAGGTAAATGCCAGATCATATTTTAAGGTAATGGTAAGCGTTTGAACAATTTCCAGATACAAAATAATTTGGGATTACACTTGTGTCAGAATAAAAGTTCGCTTCATTATTTGTAAAATGTATAATTATTGAATTTATAGCTACCTGTTCTCCACAAGCACAGGAATAGAAAATTCAGGAAAAATTTGGGAGGTTGGGCAGAAGTTTTCAAATTAATTATTTGTTTTCTAGTTATGTATGCAAAATTGTTCATGCTGTTACTGATTCTGGAGTCCAGAAGCGTCCTTGAGCTCTTGGTTTCTGTTTGAGAAATCAATAGTGCTTCACAACAGAAGAAATCTTACTTGCTTTTCACCAATCATTTACACTTTTGTTAATTAATTGTTATCTGTCTTTTCTACCTGCCTAGTAACCTTTCTTACAAGTGCCAGTACAGCCCTTTCCATGCACAACAACTCTATTTTTCATGATTTGAAATCAGAAGAAGTGGAACTCCTATACTCAGCATATGGTGATGAAACTGGGATACAGTGTGCCTTAAGGTAAGTGCTTCAGCATTTTTTATTGCCTTGCATCATCTCTTTTCTGTCGTTTTTGACTAAAATAAGCGAAAGGTTAGCTAGAAGCCACAAAAATTTCCACCTCTCCCCCACTTGAATCTCTAAACTTTGCCAAATCAGTAAAACATGAAGCTGGCTACCTTTCATCCTACCTTTTTTGTTTTTGGTTGTTTTTTTGGGAGGTGGGAAGTGTTTTTTTGTTTTGTTTTTAATTTGCATTTCTGTTTTGAGTTTGTTGCAAGATGGTTTGTTAAGAAATATTTTGACTACAGGAATTTGTGCATTGCTAGTGATTTAGCAGTTTGCTTTAAACCCCAGCTGTAGGTGAGCTTGGATACAAGTGATGAATTTAAATACTTGGTTTAAAGCAGTGGTGTTTTTCAAAGTGTTTCAAAGCACTCATAGCTTCCTGAGAAGGAAAATACCACTTGGCATTGAATTGTTGGTTTTGGAGTGAAAGAATTAATCACAGACTTTTTTTTGTTTTCTTAACTCTTTTTTTTGGTTTTGTTGCTATTTTTTGTTTAATAGAAGGAAATAAATATTCAATCTTGTCTTTCAAAATTGCTAGTAAATCTTCTCTTGAGCTGTCATTGATGATGGAAATAAAAGAAAACAACCCACAGCATCTTGAAAGCTTTAGTTTCTTCTGTAAAGAAGCATGGAAAAGTGAAAGAATGAGGAAAATGCAGTACAGCATAGGTGGAGAAGACCACATTAGAAATTGAAATACCTTTTATGAACATAAACATTTTCTGTAATGCTTATCTCCCATTTCTGCTAGCCTACAGGAATTTGTGAAGGATGCTGGACACTACAGCAAGAAAATAGTAGATGATCTTTTGGACCAGATCACAAGTGGAGATCATTCCAAAACTGTATATCAGCTAAAGCAGGTGTGTCTGTTGATGCACGGAAATGTCACAGGTTAATGAATACACAGAAGGACCCGTCTGGCTTTTTAATATTGGCTGAGAGGCATTGTTTTGTAGTGTCACTTTAAGCTGCGCATGCTTAGCTGTTCGTACAGCAGCACGATGAACCAAGTTAGGAGCAGAATTAATCAGCAGTGAAGTAATCTTCCTTTGTCGTTGCCCCAGCTCAGTCAATTCTGCAGTCAGGTGGTGAACCTCACTGGAGAAAGGAAGAGGCTGAGGTGTGCAACTGAGTGGAGGGAAACTGACCAGATGAGGCTGTGTGGGCAGCCTGTCTCTTGATGTATTGACTTAAGTTTCTGCCTCAGAGTTGCACTACAAAGCTTGATGTAAGGATTTGTTTTCATTTGTTTAAACGCAGAATGCACTCCTTGCGGAAGAAGGTTTAATGCTTAAAGTCTTGAAATAATGTTGGAGAATAATGCTGTAACTGATACGTATTGCCTATGAATGGTAACATTTAAATTTGTAAAGTGTGTATGAGGGAAAAGCTTGTAGCTTGTTAGTGAATTCCACCTGAGAGATGGAGTGCTTTCTCCTAAGACTGGAGAAGAAATTTGCTCAAGTGTCAGGTGGGTGTGTAATAGTAGTGAGCACATTTGCATTGCTAAGACAAAAGCACAAAATTTTGTTTCATGTTGTTTTCACTCTTAATACCTCTCTTAATTCAAAATAATTGCCTGTTGCTTAAAATGTTCAGGCTTTGAATGATTGTAAAAGAAGGGAAGGTATGGAGGGACCGTGGAGGGTTGAGATGAAGAATAGTCAGGCTTCCTGATGTCCTGGAAATTAGATTATGCTAAACCTTTGTAGCATGAGCAGTAGGATGAGGTGGGTGATGTCTGGGAAAAAGGAGACAAGAGAATGAAAAATAGAGGATTTTAAAATGTATTTTATTTTATTTTTTAAGTCTGCACTGGAAAAAGTTTTGCATATGAAACCTCGCTAGTAGGAGAAAAATGAAAGTATTAAAAAAAAAAAAAGGTGTTCTAAAACAATCTTCTATGTATTTTTGTACAAGTAGAGACGTGTGTATGCAGCACATATAACTTAGCTTGAAAATAAAGCACATACTTGACAGCTTCTTCTTTAACACCTAGTTATATGAATATTGTTTCCAATGAGAATTTCTTAGCGGAGAATTTATTCCTTCAAATGATCTGTGCCTCGTCATACTTTGGAATGCTGTTCAGTGGTGATATGCATATATATACAGGTTTTGTACAATTGAATGTGTTTCAGTAGTGGTGTGCTTTGGTGTGCTGTGCTTCAGTATTTTGTGCTGCTTCATATGAGTAAGAATGAATATCTGCACAACCTTGAGTGATCTGGAATCAGAAGTCAGTGAAGTAGTGACTAAGATATTTCAAAGCAGTAACAGCTGAATTTTGATTGCAGATGCTTGAAAGTTTACTGTGTCTAGCATTTCATGTGAGAAGCTTGAATATACTTGAAATTGTATGGAAGAGGGACTTCTCTAATATGTTGACTAGAAGTAATTGTTACTCTTCTTTCTCTTCAGAGACGAAACATCCCAGTAAAGCCACTGGATGAAGTTAAAGTAAGTTACTCTGTTTTTTAACTGGAAAAAGTGTGTTGGTCTTTACTGTTAAGAACATGATATTTTCTCAGCTTTCCTCATTCCGATCCCTAATTTTATTTCATGTGCATCTCTATTCTGTATAATATACATTCAATTTATTAACCTTTTTAATATTTTGATTAAAAAACAAAAAGCCTGTTAAAATCCTAGCTAGTTCTCAGTTTTTTGAGTATATGTATGATTATCCGTTAAAGAGAGTCTAGTCTTCATTTATTACTTTGTTTTTAAAGGATCTGTGCAAACATCACAAAACAGAATAGTGTTCTGTGGTGGCTTAGGATCTGATCACAGTAAACCAGTCTGTGAAATGCTAAGATCTAAAATATGATTTTTATTTTTTTTTAGGCTCTACCAGTTCTCATAAAAGAAGAACACAAGCTACGTAACACCTGTCCTGATTCTTCCAAACAGATCATGGTAAAATGGTTTGTAGAAAATGGGGGTGTTGAGTACATTCAGTTTTGCTTCAGTTCAAGGATGTGCATCCTCTGAAATAGAGCTTTAAAAATTCAGTATCTAGAGTAAGTTTCCTTATTACTACTGAGAAGGGATTCTTAAACACTCTGTTATTTTAGTTAGTGTCTGTTAGTCCTATTATTCTGTATTCTCCTGTTTAATTCAGTACATATGGACTAACTCAGAAGCTTAGGAAACTGATAGTTGGTCTGCTTATGATGAGTACTTGAGGTTCAACTTGCTGTAAAAGTGGAAAAAAAAAGAAAATCAGTATCAGTTTTTGATCCATTGCAAATGTCTGTTGGAATGTAGGGGAAAATAATGTTTATCTCAGGCTTTTATAGTTACTAATCAGCTAATCTTTCTTTTAAGTGGTACTAATTCTGTCTTGCAAATTATGTGATAACAGAAGATGTGCTCTGTATTCCATGACAATTCACGTAAAAATTATACAGGTTATGCTGAGGAGAAACTATAAAGGGTTTGTATTTCTCTAAAAGATGACTACGGTAGGTTATTTCATCAAACTGCTAAGGTATTTTCAAGAAGTGTAGGAAAGAAATGCCAGGTTGCATATTCCTCCTCCATATTCCTGCTAGAACAGGCAGCTTTGCGGAATTCTGATAAAACATATTTTGAGGCTTAATGATTTTTTTACTTAAGTTTTTTTGCCATTATATGGAAGCATTGCAGTTGAAATTAATTGCAAGCTGCATTTCATTATCCGAAAGTATGGAGCAGCTGATACTGCTTAGAATAGGAAGGCACACCTCACAGATTTTATTACTTACATAAAATTTTCACTACATCTAGAGATACACTGAAGGAAAAGGGATTCTGGAAGTTGTTACCAGTTACGCCCTCACAAACATTTCTCCCAAGGTTCTTTCATGCAACTGGGATGAATTTGGCAAGAAATTCAATCCCCAAGGATTTAATAATACTGGTTTTAGCAGTCCCAGATGTTGAGATGAAAGATATTTAGACTGCTGTGCATGTCCCTTGATGGACTCCTGGCCTGTCGTGTGACAGAGCCTGTCAAGGAAGCGTGTTTAAGCTGCCTGTAAGCTAAATGTTGACCAGTATGGTTATGGAAGTTCCAGTCTTAGGGACTGAAGGTGCACATGCCTTGAGAATATGGATTCATGCTCTTGTTGCAGCTTGCCACTGTTGTTAGTCTTTATTTCTTGAATTTTTATTTAGGTTGGAGAATCTGCTGGAGACAGTAACGCTTCTGAATTGGACTTTCTGTCTATGAAGTCATATTCAGATGTATCTCTTGATATTTCGATGTTAAGTTCATTAGGTAAGTAATAAAGTATTTAAACCATTATGGTTTAGTTGTACTGTTTAGGCAAGGTAACAGCTGCATTTGCAAAGGAGTAAAAGTGCTAAAAGAAAGTAGTAACAAATCCACAGCTGATTTAGCTAGAAGTCTTAGAGATAAAGAAGACTTAGTTCATTTTATCTTTGGAACATCCATTTTCTAGGTAAGGTAATTATTCCTGTTGTACTGAATAAACCAAAGAATTTGTATCTTGCAATTTTGATAGCTTTGCTTGTGTTTTTTGTGTTCATATTAGCCTAAGTAAGCTAATAATAATTAGGAAGTGCTATGAAGTTACTGCTTTGGATGATATCTTTTTCAAGTAATTGGGAACTAGGTAATAAAAAATATGAAGCTCAATGATAGCACCATTTGAATGTCCCAAAACAAACAAACTAAAAAAAAAAAACAAAAAACAGAAGAAACATCAGATGTTGCAAAGATTTCATCTTCAATTAAGGTGACTGTATAACGTACTGGGATGTTGTGTCAAACAAACCTACAGACTAGGCATCCCTTTTTAAATACTACAGCAAATAACATTCCCAGTTCTGCTGGCTGATGATCTGATCAAATGTCTTCAAGAATGTAATAAAAAAATTACAGTTTAAGATGCTTTTTCGGTATGTGAGAGATGTCATGCTACCTATTAAAAAGCATAAGCAAGGTGATTGGAATATTAAAAAAAGCTACAGGTTTATCCCATAAAAAAAGCAATTTAAGCTCTGATTATTACTGTAGTTCAGTAAGAAGATGAATAAATAGCTGTTTTATTGATGATGGTTAGCAGTGTCAATCTGGCTGTGAATTCCTTGCTTCATTGAAAACTGCTGTTGTTGTTTTTCTATAAATATACTTCTAGTTTCTGAAGAGTGATTGTTGCATGTTGTTTCCCATAATTATTGGAAAGTTAGGTGACATCCATACAGAAGACAGCCCAAAGAGATGGGAAATGCTTTATTTGTTTGTTTATGTCTTCACATGAAGACATTATGTGCATGGAGACTGTTCTTAAAAACCTTCTGCAATGGGGATTTCTTCACCTCCCTGAACGACACATTCTATTTTAACTGTATTTTAGGTTAGATATTTAAGTCACCCTTCTACTGGCATCATTACCTTTGCTGCAGACTAGATCTGTTATTCCTTGTCTGGAGATCTACAGATCACAAAGAAAAATTAAGCTCTGTTTAATTAAGCTGTTCAAATACTAAGAGTCAATTCCATTTCCCTGGGATGTGTCCTTTGTCCTCTCATTTGTCCAAATGCACATCTATGTGTATTTCTTGAAACTGAAAACAGATCTACGTCTGATACCTTTAAGAAGTGCAAAGGAAAGTGCAAGTTTCAGGTTTCACTCTAATACAGGATACTTGCTTTCATTTAATTTAGAATTTATTTGAAGTGACTTAGTAATTCATGAGTCAGTCAACGTACTGTACTTTTTCTGGATTTTGTTGTTAACTTGTGGACTTTAGGGAAAGTGAAGAAGGAACTAGATCATGATGACAACCATTTACATCTGGATGAAACAGCTAAGCTTCTGCAGGACCTTCATGAGGCTCAAGCTGACAGAGTGGGATCCCGACCGTCATCCAACTTGAGTTCCCTCTCCAACACTTCTGAAAGAGATCAGCATCATCTTGGTAAGGTTAACTGTGTCACAGAATTTGCACTATTTCTGCTCTAATTTGAAACTTCAATTTATAAATTTTACATAAATCTTTTGCTAGAAACTACTCTGATAAAATAGTGTTCAAACTGCAGGATAACTTTAATTTTGAAGCATGTATGGCAAAAGCAGCTGAGAAGACACTAGTTACAGTTACTTATTTTAGATTTAGATAAAGAACAATTGAAGTAATTGTGGAAGGTGATGAGTTAATGCTGGTTGCCAGGTACCTGCTAAGCCCTTCTCTCACTCCTCATCCTAAGCAAAACAGGGAGAAAATACAGTGGAAGAAAAATTAATCGGTCAAGATAAATACAGAGAGAGATTCACTAATTACCATAATGGGCGAAACAGACTTGAATTTAGGAAGGTTAATTTAATGTATTGCCAATTTTAATGAAAGAGTAGGGTAGTGAGAAATAACCCTTCCTCATCTTCTTTCCAGGCTCTGTTTCTCTCAGTTCTTCCTCCCTAATGAGAGGTCTAGAGAGATGAGGAGTGGGGATTGTGGCCAGTCCATAATGCTGCTTTTCTGCCATTCCTTTCTCCTTAGTGTCTTCCCTTACTATGAAATACAATCTTTCACAAACTGCACCAGCATGGATTATTTCCATGGGGTGCAATCCTCCATGGGTCAAAGTTCATGACAGAAAACTTGTTCCAGGCTAGACTCTTTTCCATGGGGCCGTAGTTCCTACCAGGGGCTGCTCTTGTGTGGGCTCTTCACAGCCTGTGGCTTCTTTTGGTGCACATCCTCCTGCTGCAGTGCTGCATCCTTCATGGCCAGCAGGAGATGACTACCTGATTCACCTTCTCTAGGTTGCAAGAGAAATCTCTGCTCCAGTGCCTTGAACATCACCTCCCCCTCCTTCCTCACTGATGTTGGTTGATGTCTGCATGGTTTTTGTTTGCATTTTTTTCAGTCCTGCAGCTTGTGCAAGGCATTTTTTTTTATTTTTATTTTTTTTTTACCATTTTGTAAGTGTCACCACAAGGGTACTGGTGGCATTGCTCATTGGCTCAGCTTTGGCACTGGCAAGCAGCTGGTCTGTTGTGGAGTTAGGTGGAACAAACTGTGTCCAGCACAGGGGCAGCTCCTCATCTCTTCTCAAAGATTGCAGTGCCCTCTGATAACAAAATCTTGCTATATAAACCCAATACATGAAGTAAATCGATACCGACTGGCTCTTGCATTTTTATGCTCTTGGGAAATGCTAAGGAATATATTGAGTATTTTGATACTACATAATAAAAATAAAAATTTCAATGTGCTTACATGTAGGAAGTCACAGATACGGTTCCACAATAACCTTCTGTTTTCAATTGTGTAGTTTAGTGATGGGATAGTGGGGTAACAAAACAATTTGGTGTCACTTTTAATATTATCCAAACAACATCTCATACATTCTTAAGTTACATCTTGTGTAATTCTTCAACTCAAAGTGATAATAATCATTGCTTTTTCAAAAAGGATGTAAATTCCTATAAATCTTGTGCTCTCTTTTTCAGGCTCTCCCTATTTAAATTTCATTTCGATGTCTCTCACACACACACACACGCAATTTTTCACTTTTTCTGTACTTATGAAGGTTTTGATATCTTTTTTTCCTCTTTTCTTCAGGAAGCCCTTCTCATCTGAGCGTTGGAGAACAGCAAGACATAGTTCATGATCCCTATGAATTTCTTCAGTCCCCAGAAACCTCAAATGCTACTACTAACTAATTTGAACTTCTATATATATTTTGTATTTTAAGTGTACGGTTGTTATATAAATTTTTGTACTTGGCAGAAGCCTCAGTTTGTCCTACTTTGTATGAGGATTCCAGTATAACGTTGTATAATATACCGGTCAAAAAAGCCAAGCCCAAAGATGGAAGGGTACTCTGGTGCATCATGGTGTCTGCTTTTGCTTTGTATGTTAGAGTGTGTCTTGTCTACTGGTGTATGAATCTTGACTGAAAAACAAGTGCTGTGTTAGAGAGTTTCTGTTCTGTAAGAAGTGATCATTGTTCCACCATCATGGCAGCGATCTTGAAACGTCTCCTGTAGAGTTATGTTCCAGTTTCTCTTTTGGTCTTAACTTGGGCATCCTCAAGGAGGAATATCTTGCTTCCCCAGTGACAGAACTGAATGAACTGAAAGAACTGGGGTCGTTTTTTGCTTTCCATCTTGTACCCTCTAATCTGTACAAATAGTTTGTGTTTCCCTCTCTTTGTAAATCTTTCATTTTATCACCCTAGAGAATATTTAATATGAGAAGAGCAGTACTTGTAGTTGCTTTAAAATGTTTAATTCTGCCTTGGATCTAAAAAAGGTGGATGTTTTTATGATCCCTTTTGTCTTGAAAAAGGAAGAGATTACAATACTTCTAATTTCAGTATTTATATTTGCTCGGATGAAAAGAATTCTGCATGCAGCTTGCTTTTTGGTAATTCTAAGGTAAAATCTTTGGAATTCAGTATTCTTGGGGGGTGTACCAGTGGTATGCGCAAGGTGGACATGTTATAAATTCACCATGTTTTGTAAATTTGTAAAAATAAAGAGCGAGGAAGAGGAAGCAGAGCTCTCATCCACATTGCCTGTACGGTCTTGCCTATACAGCCTTTACTCTATCTGTCTTTGCCAATTATTTTACAAACATCTTGCTTATAAAAGTTCTGACATCTCTTCTTCTCTCAGAACAGATTTCTGCTGCAAACCCTTCTCATGCTGTGCCAGTACATCTTTTACGGTGTCTTCCTTTAGTAGTGAACAGGTAACACTAAGATTTTTATGAGGTACTCACTTGATTTATCTGTCTTGCCTAAGTAAGCCTTCTTTCAGATGAAAATCTTGTTTCCACAGTTCATCCTGAGGCCAAAGTTCTGGAAACAAAACTGAGTGGCTAAGAGGGCTATTTTTCTGTTAAAAATCAAAATGTCTGAAGCTCTTCACATTGGACTAGAAAAGTTAGAATAACAAAGACTAGAATGTGCAGAAGAACTGGTGGAGGCTAAGACCAAATATATTCATCAAAGGAGTCAATAGGCTGATTGATTTCTGTGAATATAGTAAACGTGTTTCAAAACACAAATGTGTAATTCTGTGAAGGAGAAATTTTAGTCGTTTTTCTTTACTTCTGACTGGAGATTTAATAGGAAACAACTTACATTAAATTTGTGGAAGGTCAAATGAAATGCAGATGTTAGGTTTTAAGTGGTAGTGGATGTTCAGGTTAGTGAGGTAAAGGTTTAGGATTCCCTTCCCCCACAACACCCTTCCTGAAGAAATCCTAGATGCTTACTGTAATACTTGAAGAATTGGATTTCAGGATTGTTTAATGAAAAAATGTTACAGAAAGAATTGAGAATGTAAATTCACCTAATAGCATCTTTTGAAGCCAAGAGGACCACACTTTACAAATGGATTGTTTCTATCACATTTTCATATTTTAATACCACTTTATAATTAATGCTTGGTTAGCCATAACCTCTGGGAAGAATATTTAAAAAACAAACAAAACAGTTAAGCTCCCTCTTCAGGTACAGATTATAAAGTGAAGGGCTTCCTCTTCAATCTCTCAATTACTGAATATTTTTATTGAGAGGTTACAGTGTTTCTAGTATTTTCATATATATGTAAGAGAAGTTTTTTAATTATTATTTTTTTGTTTTTAAATTCTCTTGTTACATGCTGTATTGGGAAAAAATTCTTAAATTGCATCACAGAATGACTGAGGTTGCAAAGGGGCTCTGGAGGTTCTCTGGTCTCACCCTCTTCTTGGACCCTAAAGGCACTTTCCTAGGACTGCATCCAGACACCTTTTGGAGATCTCTACATCTAGGCTACCTGTGCCAAAGCTTCATCACCCTCACAGTAAAGTATTTCTTGATGCTTAGATGAAACTGAGCTATGCTTATGTGCCCACTGTCTCTTCTCCTGGCTCTGGGCACCACTGAGAGGAGCCTGGTTCTGTCTTCTTTGCACCCTCCCTTCAGGTATTTGTGGGAATTGTTGAGATGCCTCCCTCAGCTTCCTCTTCAAGCTGAATAGTTCCACTTATCTTTGCCTTACCTCATACGAGATCAGTCACCTTTCTGCCCTTTCTTTGTACCCTCCAGTATGATTGTATCTTGTATTAGGAGCCCACAATACTCTGCATGTGATTTCATCAGGGCCAAGTAGAGGGGAAGGATCCCTTCCCTTGGGCTGCTGGCAGTACTTTACCTGGTGCAGTCAAGGATATCCTTGCAGCCTTCTTTTCAGCAAGGGTGCTTTGCCAACTCATGTTCACTTCAGCATCCACCATGATATCCAGTTCCTTTCCTTCCAACTTGTTTTCCAGCTTATTGGCCCCCAGCATATATCAGTGCCTGATGTTGTTCCTCCTCTTATGTAAGGACTTGGCACTTCTCATTTAAGTATGTGAGGTCCTTGTCAGCCCATTTTTTCGGCATATCAAAGGTTCCCCTGGATGGTAGTGCAAATCCCTGTTGTGCTAGACATTACATTCCTACCAATTTTGTGCTATTTGTGAACTTTCTGGGCATACACTCTGCTTCATCATCCAGATCATTAGTGAATATCATTACTGGACTCAGTATCAATGCCCCTGGGATATACATCTAGTTACTGACCTCCAGTTAACATTCACAAATGATCTCATTTTTATAAAATCTACACAGTTTGCAAGAGATAGTAACTCGATTTCTATTCTCTTTAATCTGTAAAAAATGACTCTAAATTGAGTGCAAAGGCCAAATAAATAACGTGGAGACAACAGCTGTATCTGAACTGTGCAAGTGGGACTCAGTATTTTCTATGTAAGTCAAAAAGATGATTCTGCAGTGTGAGTTGCGCAGTCTGAGTGGACAGCTTATTAAACAGCAACCTGATGTGCTCCATAACCAGCAGTGCAGAATTGTATGTAATAACATCACTAGGAACAGCACTGGTTTTGTTTTTTGTTTGTTTGTTTGTTTGTTTTTTAAAGCAATGATACTACATGAATTAACACCCCTCAGAGACAAAAACTTCTCCACTATGTAAATCCTGGATATTTTTTGCATCCAGGTCTTCAATGGCTTTAAAGTGATGGGCTTTGGCCATCACTTTAAATACTGTTTCAGAATTTTATATGTTAAATGTTGTTAAGGGGGCATAAAATTTTGAGGGTTGCATAGATCTCTTTCTCCTTTGCTCTCAAAAACTGCTGACAGATCTTGCCTCAGAATTTGTATCTGCACTGTTACAAATGGTTTTGCTACTGTGTGTTTAAGCTCTTCATACCTTTTCCACCCACTTTCTCATATGTCTTTGAATACAATATGCTTAACATACTCACCTTTTTAACCAGTTTCTCTTCAGCCTTCAAAACACAGCCATGGTGTAAAAGAATAGGTCAGAGTTCCAGGATCCAACTTTCCCTGAAAGCTGAAAGGTAAAAGTTGCCTCTTTGTCAGGGAGAAATTTTTTGAAGCACTTTCACAGCCGCAGGATAAAACCTTGTATTTGGGCCTAGATTCAGAGCTGACACTGACATATCCTTGTGAGCAGGTTGTCAGAATAACTACTCTCCCAATCACATATTGTCCTGTCAGTGGGCACTACTGAGAAGTATGCTTCCTTTCTCATTCATTAGGTATTTATACACATTTTCTGAGACCACTCCCCAACCCTGAGACTTCTCTCCACTCCAGTTATGGTTGTCTCAGCCTTTCCTCCATCATCACTGTCATTTTGTGCTGAAATCACCTCACTCTGTCTATCTCTCCTGTAGGGAGGAGCACAGAACAGTACTTCAAGTGCAGCCTCACCTCACTCTACTCAAGTGAGTAGAGAGGAAGGATGTCGTTTATTGATCTGCTGACAATGCACCCCAGAAAAATAATGGCCACTTCTGATGCAAAGGTGCATCTTGTGGTTAGCTTGATGTCAACCAGGATGCCAAGAGCTCAGGATATCAAAAAAGTGAAACTGCAGGATTCCTATCTTTTTTAAAAAAAGCAATCCTGTTGATTATTTTTGATTGGCTGTAGAAATCACCTGCCCATAGGATAATTGCAGTCACCAAACTACGTAGCAAGGATTTAAACACTAGGAAACACCAGGAAATTTAGATTACTTGCTCACCTTTTAAATTACAGGCTAAGAGTGGAGAACATTAATTACACCAAATTTCAGTATTAAAATATTTGTTTATATTTGTTTATAAGTTTTCCTAAGAAAGAGAAAACACATTGAGGAACAAAAATCTATGATTCTATGTTTCTTTGAAACCAACTTCACTTGTGTGGTGCAAGCATTCACCACACAGGCACTTAAAGCAAGATAAATAAGCTGGTGCTGGTGTTTTGCATTGCTTTTCAAGCCCATAAAAAGGACTAGTGATGATAGTTGGATTATAGTAAATAATCTGTTGTTCCTCAACTAAATCAATCTTTCACTGGTTTGTACATTAAAACTTTTATCAAAATAGATTGCTCCAATTCAGAGTAGTAGGGGCTTAAGTGATTGTGCAGCCTGACTTTTAGGGAACTCTTAAATTGTGAAATGTTTTCTTATGTCCTAGAATAATCTATATTTCATAAGACAGTGGTAACATGCAGTAGATGAGGATATAGAAAAGGAGTCCTGGGAATGGCACAAGAGATCCTGAAATCATAGCAGTTGTCAATCCTATGTAATTAGATGCATAGTTAGATGTCCTGAAGCTACTGTTCAAAATCGCAGAATGCAGAAGACACATTACAGAATCATAGAATCACAGAATCATTAAGGTTGGAAAAGACCACTAAGATCATCTTGTCCAGTTGTTACCCCAGCCCTCTAGTGTCCCTAAGTGCCCTATCTGCTCTTTTCTTGAAAACCTCCAGGGTTGGTGACTCTACCACTTCCCTGGGCAGCCTGTTACAATACCTCACCAATCTTTCTAAGAAAAAATTTCTCTTAGTATCCAACCTGAACCTCCCCTGGTGTTATCATCGGTTACCTGGGAAAAGAGGCTTACCCCCAGTCACTACAAGCTCTTTCCAGGCAGTTGTAGAGAGCGATACCATCTCACCTGAGCCTCTTGTTCTCCAGACTAAATAGACTGAACTGTTCCCTCAGCTGCTCCTCGTAAGACTTGTGCCCCAGACCCATTACCAGCTTCATTGTCTTTCTTTGCATGCACTCCAAGGCCTCAATGTCTTTCTTGTAGTGAGGGGCCCAGAGCTGAGCACAGCACTTGAGGTGTGGACTCACAGTGCCAAGTACTGGGAGATGATCACCTCCCTGGTGCTGCTGATTACACTGTTACAAGGCAGGATGCCATTGCCCCCCTTGCTCACCTGGGCACATGGCTGGCTCACGTTCATCCAGGGCACCCCCAGGTCCTTTGCACAGCTTTCCAGCCACTCTGCTCCAAGCTGGCAGTGATGCACAGGTGCATGAGGTTGTTGTGACTAAAGAGTAGGACTCTTGATCTTGATCTTGATCTCAGCACTTGATCTTGTCAAGCTCATGCAGTTGGCCTCAGCCCACTGATGCAGCCTATCCACATCCCTCTGTAGGGCCTTCCCACCCTCACGCAGATTCCCAACTTCCTCCCGAC